TATGAACCAGAGTGTCCCATGAAAAAAATCGATTTTAAATAACCCAACAAAGATTTCTTTTTTTCTATGAGGGTCAGCTGAAAAGTTCTTCGTCTGACCAAGTGGACCAGAATACACCAGCTAGTTGAGCAGCTGTTGTATTCTGGTGCACTTACAGATAGAAAATGAGTTCAGAAGATACACAAAAATAGAAAGGGGTGTAAGACAATGATGTGTCTTCTCACCGGACTTATCTAAAAGTCCTAGCAGGAGTCAATATTGGCGGGTACAATTTTAATAACAAGATATGCACACTATTTACATTATTTGAACTATTGTCTTCATCTTTGTTGGCATATTTATCACAACGTTTCGGTCGTTGTACGCTCCGGACTTCTTCAGTTGGTTGGAATGTCGAACAGAACCCTTTATTTCGCTCGCTGGGGGTGATTGGTCTAGTTCCACGTGCGATGTCAGTTAGCAGTTATCTCTTGTTATTCCCCTCTCCAAGCTCTCCACCGCCTTAACCAGGAATTGAACTCACACACCTTGGGGTCACTGGATCTGGCGCCTAACAAACCTGATAAGGCCGGAGTGTACAACGGCCGCCTTCCAACATTCCAACCACCTGATAAGGCCGTTGTAATAAATACAAGACAATAGCCGAATAACGTCGTGCATAATACCTTATCTCAGAAATACAAAGATGAAAGGACAATAAATCTGACAAAAAAAAAAATAATGTAATAATGTAAATGTGTACATAATACCTCATCTCAGAAATATAGACAGATACTGAAAGGCCGAAACGTTGTAATAAATATGGCAACAAAAATGAGGACAATAGTCCGAATAATGTAAATAGTGTACATAACTTATCTCAGAAATATAGACAGAACTGAAAGGCCGAAATGTTGTAATAAGGACAAAAATGAGGACAATAGTCCGAATAATGTAAATAGTGTACATAATACCTCATCTCAGTCTGAAAATGTAAATAGTACATAATACAGATACTGAAAGGCCGAAATGTTGTAATAAATATGGTGACAAAATGAGGACAATAGTCCGACAGCAAAATAAGGCAGAATCGTTGTAATAAATATGGCGACAAAGATGAGGGACAATAGTCGAATAACGTAAATAGTGTACATAATACCTTATCTCAGAAATATAGACAGATACTGAAAGGCCGAAATGTTGTAATAAATATGGTGACAAAATGGGGACAATAGTCCGAATAATGTAAATAGTGTACATAATCCCTTATCTCAGAAATATAGACAGATACTGAAAGGCCGAAATGTTGTAATAAATATGGACAAAATGAGGACAAAAATGAGGACAGAAAATAGTCCGAAATGTTGTAATAATGGTGACAAAAAAATGAGGACAATAGTCCGAATAATGTAAATAGTGTCCATAATCCCTTATCTCAGAAATATAGACAGATACTGAAAGGCCAAAACGTTGTAATAAATATGGCGACAAAGATGAGGACAATAGTCCGAATAATGTAAATAGTATACATAATCCCTTCTCAGAAATATAGACAGATACTGAAAGGCCAAAACGTTGTAATAAATATGGCGACAAAGATGAGGACAATAGTCCGAATAATGTAAATAGTGTACATAATACCTCATCTCAGAAATATAGACAGATACTGATGAGATATGCAGATGACATAGTGTTGATAGCAGACACAGAAAGAGAGCATTAAAAACTTCTACCGAATGTACTGAAGGAAAGCAAGAAGAAAGGATTAAAAGTCAACGGCAAACAGAATGCCTGGTTGTTGTCAAAAGAATGAGTTCAAAGTGCAAATTAACAATCGAAGATACGAAAATGAAACATGTGTGGAAAGTTAAATAACTGGGAAGTCTTTTAACAGAAGACAGAATGTGTGACACTGAAATCCGAAGAATTATTGGGATAACCAAGAAATCTAAGCAGAGTACTAAGAAATAGAAAAAATCGCTAGAAACTAGGAAAAACATACTATACTTCTATGTAATATCTGTTTTCCTGTATAGAAATGAGTGCTGGACGATCGTCTCAGAGATGAAGTAGAGACTTGCAGCAACAGAAATGTCGTTCTATAGACTGATGCTGAGGATACCGTGGACTGAACCTGTGAGTACGTTTTGGAGAAAAAAAAAAAGGAAACTGATAAGCATCAGGAAGAGACAGTTGAGGTTTCTGTGGCACATAATGAGAAAGGACGGACTGGAAAATCTAATACTCACAGGACAATTTAAGGGCAAGATAAACAGAGGAAAACAACGTATAATCTACTTACTAAGCTTGAGTAGACGGATCGAGGAATAAAAACAAGAAATAACAAAAAGACATAATCTATTAAGAGTTACAAAGAACAGAAAATTGTGGAGAGCCTTGATCGCCTACATCCTGAGTGGACACGGCTCATCAAGAAGAAACGTGTCTTTTAGACTACCACCTGTTGTGTCTACATCCATGTCTTGATAAGCCTATGAACTTTCGAGCCACTCATCATATGAAATACCGTGTCCGTTCAGGACGTTACCTGGCATGGCTCTCTTGAAATTCTTATAATTTGTGGTTCTTAGAATTTTGTTTTTATTTTCCTTCTGCTACCGAAGATTTTAGGGTTGGTTATTTGCTGTTTAC